TCCTTACTTCCGCCATGTGCAGTATGGAACATATTTTCCTGAGTAAATTTGGCGCCAAATAGCTGCGATTGCGATTTGCGACGTTGCCAAACAAAGAAAAGTTATTGTTGAGACGCATGCATATCCCCTAATCGCCAAGTCGTCGAATGATCAAATAGTCGAATGCCAAGTAATCGAATGGACAAAACGTCGAATGCTAAAAACATCGAATCGGCATTTAGTCGAATGCTAAAAACATCGAATTGTCAATACGTCGAATGTTCAAAACGTCGAATTATCAATTCGTCGAATGTTAAAAACATCGAATCGTCAATACGACGAATGTTCAAAACGTCGAATTATCAATTCGTCGAATGTTAAAAACATCGAATTGTCAATACGTCGACTGCTAAAAACATCGAATGGACAAAACATCGAATGCTAAAAACATCGAATCCTCATTTAATCGAATGCTAAAAACATCGAATTCTCAATTCGTCGAATGTTCAAAACGTCGAATGCTCAAAACGTCGAATCGTCATTTAGTCGAATGGTAAAACCATCGAATAGTCCATTCGTCGAATGCTCAAATAGTCGAAACGCCATCTTTTCGAACTTTTGTCGATTCGATGTTTTTAGCATTCGACGTTTTTATGATTCGACGTTTTGACCATTCGACGAATTGACAGTTCGATGTTCTGAGCATTCGACGTTTTTATCATTCGACGTTTTGAACATTCGACTACTTTACCATTCTATTACTTGGCAATTCGAACAGATGGCGTTTCGACTACTTTATCATTCTACTACTTGACATTTCGAACAGATGGCGTTTCGACTATTTGAGCATTCGACGAACTGACTATTCTATGTTCTGAGCATTCGACGATTTGAGAATTCGATGTTTTTAGCATTCGACGTTTTGATCATTCGACGTTTTGATCATTCGACGTTTTGAACATTCGACGAATGGAAAATTCGATGATTTAAGCATTCGATGAATTAACAATTCGATGTTTTGAGCATTCGACAAATTGATAATTCGACGTTTTGAACATTGGACGAATTGAGAATTCGATGTTTTTAGCATTCGATTAAATGAGGATACGATGTTTTTAGCATTCGATGTTTTGTCCATTCGATGTTTTTAGCAGTCGACGTTTTTATCATTCGACGTTTTGAACATTCGACGTATTGACAATTCGATGTTTTTAACATTCGACGTTTTGAACATTCGCCGTATTGACAATTCGATGTTTTTAGCATTCGAATAAATGCCGATTCGGTGTTTTTAGCATTCGACGTTTTGTCCATTCGATGTTTTTAGCAATTCGACGTTTTGTCCATTCGATTACTTGGCATTCGACTATTTGATCATTCGACGACTTGGCGATTAGGGGCATGCATCTCTTATTTGACGTCTTAAGGAGCATTCAGACCTAAGTTAAGTTAAGTTAAATTTGATTGGCACTATACTGGCTTTATGCCTATATATCCGGCCATGACCTGGTGAGTAGCATTCAGGGGCCGTATTCTCGAAAGCATTCGACAATTCTCGCATGCGTAAAATGTCGAATGGTTAATGTCGCATGCGACTCTGAAAGTCTATTCTCAAGTTGAGTCTCCAATGTGAGAGAGGTGCGCATCGATGTTCATAGCTATAGGTATACTAAAGTATGCTGTGGTATATCTATAGCTATGAACATCGATGCGCACCTCTCTCACATTGGAGACTCAACTTCAATGACCGTTCAAAATAGGTTGTTCGAAAATTTCCGTGTGCGACATTCATACATTGTTGCCGTCGTTTCCAAATACTTATCTGCCAATCATAATTGAGGAGGAAGAGAACTTGACATATGAAAAAAATACAAATAGTTATCCGTTCATTTAAATATTTCAAAATCAATTAAATTTTGCGTTTACAATTTTTATAAACAAATTAACTTTAAGCGGTTTCAGTTTGAAATTTTATAAGATTTTAATTTTGAATGAATTTAATTTAAAATTTTGATAATTCAAATTCTTTTGAAATCAGTTAAAGGGCTTAGGGGGTTAAGTGTGCAAAAACTGCCCCCGCATCTATTTTTCTCAAATTTGGCCCATATATTACTATCCATATGACTATAACTTTCTGCAATTTTGAACTCAAAATTCGCTTTTTTGGGGGAGTTATGGAGGGGGAAAGCAAAATCAAAAAACTTATTTTTCTCGAAAACTACTGAACCGATTTTAATGAAATTTTAAGAGGTTGTAAATATAGATAAGACGATTTTAGAAAAAAAAATCAAAATTTTTTTTCAGAAAAAATTTTCAAAAATTTTTTTAGGGTTATTTTTTAAAGTGACCACTTTCTCTTTTGTTGTAAAAAGTTCCTTATAATGTCCTTATAATGTTATAAATCGTCTTATCTATATTTACAACCTCTTAAAATTTCATTAAAATCGGTTCAGTAGTTTTCGAGAAAAATAAGTTTTTTGATTGTGCTTTCCCCCTCCATAACTCCCCCAAAAAAGCGAATTTTGAGTTCAAAATTGCAGAAAGTTATAGTCATATGGATAGTAATATATGGGCCAAATTTGAGAAAAATAGATGCGGGGGCAGTTTTTGCACACTTAACCCCCTAAGCCCTTTGGCAATATATATTTAATTAATTATTAAAAATAATGAATTTATAGAAGAATTTTAGTTAAAAACAATCAAATATTTATTTAAATAGAAGTTACTGATATTATGACGAATAATTTTATAATTAAAGAAATTCGTAAATAAATGTAACAACATTTCTTTAATATTAAAGTTTTAATATTAGCATTTGTAAATTGAGAATTTTCTACAAAAATGTTAAGAAACTGGAATATGTAATATTTTTTTTTTAAAGAAAAGAATCAGTTTGTGAACAATATTGTTATTGAAAAATTAAAATTATGCATAATAAAGGGATATATCCCTTTATATTATGCATAATTTTAATTAATAAATATATATATATTTCCTATTTTTGCAAAAAGAAAATTTATTTATTAATCAAAATTTTTTGTAATTTTATAATTTTAAATATTGTTTTATTTTAAATCTTAAAAAAGAGCATACTTTCAATTTGTGAAACAATATTTTGTAAAGAAAAAAACAAAAGCATACACAAAAACTAACTTTAAAGTGTGAACAGACAGAAAAAATGAAACGAAGATTAAAAAAATTTATATTGTTTACATGATTCATTCACAAAAATAACACAAACATGTGAAATTTGTCCATTATAAATTTTGCATATTATAAATTATTTACATAAACTTTTATTTCACAAGTTTACTTTTAATTCTTAAACAACACATTTAGGTTATTGCTTCCTCATAAAGGAAGCTTTGTATTAGCAAAATTTTGGATTGTCATTTTTTGACATATTTATAAATTTTTTTTTATTATGCCTAATACTTTAGTACTTTATATATGCACAGGAACTCCCCGTATAAATGTTCTAAATAAATAAAAAAAAATTTCGACGTATTTTGACCTCCGAAGTCCAAAAAACGGATTTTAAAAATTTTCCCGATGTGTGTGTGTGTGTGTACTAACATTACATTTGCCTCAATATCTCAGAACGAGAAAGAGCTAAAGGCCTCAATTTTTTTTTAAATTGTAGGTCTCCCCGGGGGACATAAAATGAGAGTATTTTCAGCCCGATTCATGAAATTCAACTATTTTTTTTTGCATTTTTCATTTTGTAAAAAAACGTTTTTTGGACATCACTTAAAAAAATGTTAGGACACTTATAAATCTTTCTCTTTAGTTTTGTAGAGTTTTTTCACACGCATCTTTTGAGCCCTAATTGAACATTTTTCGTCCATATTAACCGGAGATATTAAACTTTTAAAAATCAAAAATTTTGGAAAATAAGACTTTTTTAAAAATTTTGATAAAAACTGTAGAAGTTTAGTTTTGTTTTGTATTTAGTTTTGTAAAGTTTTTTTAGACGCATGTTTTAAGCCCTAATTGAACATTTTTCGTCCATATTAACCGGAGATATTAAACTTTTAAAAATCTAAAATTTTGAAAAATAAGACTTTTATAAAAATTTTTTTAAATGATGTAAAAGTAACTTCAAAAAATTATTACCAACTTGAAGAACATTAAAAAACGTTTCGATTGACCTATTTTTGAACCTGATTCGGGCAGAAATTATGAAATTATTGGTATTTGAAAAATCAAAAATTGTGGAAAATATCATTTTTCAACATTCTTGTTTATTAACTTATGTGTAATTATTAAACTATTATTACCATCTTATAGAATATATAAAAACACATTTTTTGGACCAAGATTTAATGATTTTTAACCCTTTTATAAAAAGTAATTCTTATATTTCAATTATTATTATTTCTATGAGGAAGCAAAGTGTTCATGAAATGAACACCAGAATTATAAAAATGTACAACTTGGCAGCGGTTTTTTTTATAGTTTTTCTACTTTAGCATGCGGTTCATGCACACTAATACTACTTTATATTATATACGTTTATTACAAGGATGACACACAACCTTATTTTTTACTAGCATTTCGTATACGACTTTGCATCTCGAATGGCCACTACCCACTCGAGATGAACCATTCGGAAATTATCGCATACGACATGAAATCTCGCATGCGACAAGCGTTCGAGAATAGCTTTTTCCATCTCGAATGGTCTGTCGCATGCGACATCTAGGGTCATCGATCCGTACCCAGACCTCTGCAGGCTGTCTGGCTGCGCACCCATGAGTTGCGTTGACCAAGCTTCGTGGAGTTCCGTAAGGAATGCGTTACCGAGCGGACGCGTTATTTTGCTTACGAAATATATATAGATTTACGGGCTTTATTTAATTCAGTGGTGCTCATTATTGTACGCGATTAAAACCGGGATCCCTTTTAAAGACACATCGTGTCTTATTGTACCTATTTCATAGTGTACTAACCCTTTTATTAGTAGTTCGTTTCCTTTTAGGTTAGCCAGCCTCGTGGCTGAGCGCGCGTATCGCAGAGGCATGGCCTCTAGCGAAAATTCAGACTTCCGAATGGATTTCTCCGATGAGACGGAGGAGCAGAGAGCTGCAAGAAATTTATTGTATTATCAACAACAATCGTCAAAAAATGTTCGATCGCGGACAAACTCAACATCGTCCCTAGATTCGGACAAAAAACGTAAATGTGAGAATCAACCAGACCCATTCAAACCGCCTCTTGACCCTAACACAGTGCGTGCAGATCAATCCGGTAAGAAGACAGGTAAAAAAGAAGTCAAACTCGTCAAATACGAAAATTCTAATAAGGGAAATTGCCCGGTTTTCTTACAGCGCGATCCCAAATCAAACGATGCGTCGAAAGACCTGAATCATGTGTCAGTCGGTAAAATCATCCACAATCTTTATCCCGGTAAAGTTGTTGGAATTTACCCAAGCGGTCGCGGAAAAGTCCGAGTTATCATGAATGGTGGCAGAGCAGCCAACCAAATTGTTTCTGATCCGACTCTTAAATCAAAAGGTCTAATAGCTATAATCCCATCGAGTTTCGTCACGTGTCAGGGAATAATTAACAATATCGGGCTAGACATCTCCACGGAAGAGATTTTAGAGAACGCGGAAATTATTGGTAACTACGGTAAGGATTGTAAAATTATCAATGCCCTGAGGTTTAACCGCAGAAAAATTGACGAGAAAAACACAGTTACGTTTGAACCCTCTACCACCGTCCTTCTTACTTTTCAAGGAACTACCATTCCAGAGCGTGTGTCAATTTATAAAGGTTCATCTCCAGTACGCCCCTACATTCCAGACCCACGCATGTGCATGAATTGTCTGCGATTTGGTCACATAGCCAAACACTGTAGGTCAAAAACTCGATGCCAACAATGTGGCGGTTCAGCCCCCCACAATGATGATACCAACCCTTGCACCAACGCGTCAGGCCCCCCAAGGTGTGCAAACTGTAACGGTCCACACAAACCTTCGTCAAAACAATGTCCAGAGTTCACGTTTCAAAAAGAAGTTCGCTACTACGCAACTCAACATAAAATGTCCTTTGACGAAGCAAAGGAAATCCTCAAACCAAAAAGAAACACTCGTCGCATGGACGCTTTTAACTTCTCCGACTTTCCTGATCTGGCAGATCAACCTGCCCCTTCTTCAACCTTCACACAAAATTCTAACCTCCAAAAACGTTTATTCTCTCAAGCGACAACAGTTCACAACAACCATTCTCAACAGACAACAAACAAAGCACCACACTCTCACACAAACCGAACACCAAAAAACTCTTCTTCTTCAACCTTCTTCGCTGCAAACTGGAACAATGGCAGATCCGAGATCTCCATGCCTAACGGTTTTGCTCTTTCGAATCCTTCATCTACCTCTCCTTCTCCTACCCCGACTCAATCACACACACCTAACTCTGACACCCAGATCGTAGAATCACTCAATTCTTTCCTCTCACTACTAAAAACACATATCACTCACATTTCTTCCAACTCTTCACCAGAAATTACGAAACAAAATTTAGAAACTCTCTCTAACATTACGACTAGCCTCCATTCTTTGTTAGCTCTTCCAGCCCACAAAAATGGCTAGTCTTTCCCAATTAAATCTTCTGCAATGGAACTGTCGTGGTGTCTCTAACAAGACACCCGAAGTTCACAAACTTTCAAACAAATTCGACATTCTCCTCCTCTGCGAAACCTTCTTGAAGCCTGAAAAGCGCGTTAATTTCAATATACTTAAACAATTTAACATTATTAGATCAGATAGAACAACAAACAAAGGCGGTGGCCTTGCTTTTGCAATTCGCAAAAACTTAATTTTTTCAAAAATTGGATCTATTTTTACTCGCGAGGATGAACTTGAAACACTCGCTGTTTCAATTGATTCCTCCATAGGTAAACTTTTGATAGTATCGGTTTATAGAGTCCCCGGTAAATTAACTCCTCCTTCCTACTGGAAAAAATTTTTTAACTCTATTAAAAACTCGGGCTTCAAGACGGTTTTTATAGGGGGGGATTTTAACTGTCACAGCACTCTATGGGGTAGCTCCCATGTTTGTCCGAATGCACGCAACCTATGTGACGAATTGGATGTTACAGATTTTATCCTTCTAAACAATGGAACACCTACTTTAGTAGGCCGCCCACCAAATCCTGGCTCAGTCTTAGACCTCACCCTTGTCTCTTCCAATTTATTCACGTCCTCCTCTTGGAGCGTTCACAATGACACTTTAGGCAGTGATCATTTTCCCATATTCTCATCTTTAGGCATTACAATACCTATTTCCAAATTTACATCACATAAATATAATTTGAGAGGTATAGACTGGCCTCTCTTTTCTTCTGAACTCCATTCATCCATAGACTCAAATCTAAACACCCTCAATACAGATAGCCCTATTTCTGACTATGATCAGTTTGTACACCTTGTAGACACGACAATTAATACAATTTGCCCCCAACGCGTAACTTCACCTAACACAAGACAAAATTCCCCCTCTTCTAAAAAACCGTTTGTTCCTGCGCCTTGGTGGGACAACGATTGCGACGAAGCAATAAAAAACAGAAAATTAGCTTTAAAAAATTATAAAAAATGCTCAAACTACCCTAATTTTCTTACTTATAAAAAGGCTGAAGCTGTAGCTAAGCGTACTCTTAGCGAAGCCAGACGCCAATCTTTTAAAAAATTTTGCGATTCCTTAGACAGACACACACCTTTAACAAAGGTTTGGTCTGTTATTAAATCTTTTAAAAATCGATACACACAACCCTCCTCTTCTTCATGCTCGGCAGACAAGGAGACTGTGGATAAACTACACTCACTTATTGACGAACTTTATCCACCTACTGTCTTCCATGACGACTTTCCCGTTGATTTTGACAAAAATTCATTTTTAGAAGCCCCTTTTACTATTTTCGAATTGTCAAAAGCTATCCAATCATGTAAAACTAAATCATCCCCGGGTCTTGATAAAATAGATTACAATATTATCCAACATTTTCCAGACATAGCTTTATCAACTCTTTTATCAATTATCAACAGAATAATCTCAAATGGCGTTTTCCCTTCTTCTTGGAATAATTACCTTATTTTCTTCCTTCCAAAATCCTCACCAGGTAAATTTCGCCCAATTTCCCTAGCATCCTGCCTTTTCAAAATTTCTGAAAAATTAATATACAACAGACTTATCTGGCTTATCGAACGTAATAAGATCCTCAGTCCAAATCAATTTGGTTTCAGAAAAGGTAAATCCTGCACGGATAATCTTTCTCTGATCTCCACTGAGATTTGGACGGGTTTAGCACAACGCGAATTCACGGGTGCACTTTTTCTGGACATAAAGGGGGCTTTTCCTAGTGTGGTTCCAAACATTTTAATGAAAGATCTTAAAGAAATTGGTATTTCTGAGTCAATAGCTCGTTTTATATATAATTCAATTAAATGCAAGAATATGTTTGTCAAGATCAACGGCGAAGTTATAGGCCCGAGAACCAGTACGGTTGGCCTCACACAAGGTAGCATACTTAGTCCAATCAATTATTCAATTTACACCAGAAACCTCAACACCATCATTCCTGCAGACTGTGAACTGTACGAATTCGCGGATGACTTATCCGTCACTTGTCGCTCCCCTGACCTCAATCAAATTGTTACTTCTCTTCAAAATTGTCTTAACATAATTTCTGAATTTTTGGCCGATAAGGGTCTGGAAGTTTGCCCAGCTAAAACTAAATATATCATCTTTAGTAACAAAAAGATTAATTCAGAAGACCCTAATCTTTTTCTAACCTTAAACGAAATAGTTATTAAACCATCTCCCACAGTTAAATATCTTGGTGTATATTTTCATGAATCAGGTTCTTCCGATACTCACTTTAACTATCTATGTGACAAAGGAAGAAAGATTCTAAATGTATTAAAAGTTCTTAGAGGCACTTGGTGGGGAGCGGACCCACATCTGCTCCTCCGTATTTATGATTCATTACTTAGAAGTCCTATCGATTATGGTTCACAAGCTTCCAATTTTAAATCTCATAAAAATTTCTCCCGTTTAGAAAAAGTACGTAATCAAGCTCTGAGACTAGCCGTAGGCTATAGACAGAGCACTCCTATTAATGTAATGTTAGCTGAATGTTGTGAACCCCCTTTAAGATCAAGATTTAACTTCCTTGCTAAAAAATATCTGTACAGAGTCTTTTCAAATTCAACTCATCCATTAAATAATAAACTTCCAGAGCTTTCTCGCGTTACCAATGATTCAAATGTAAAATTTAACTACCCCCTTTTAATCGCATATGAGAAATCAAAAATTTACAGCCAATTAATTAGAAGTAAGGACCTTGACCCTTACTTTGAGTTCCTCTTTGAGGACCACTCATTTACTCCCCAGATTGTCCTTAACTGGGGTCACTCATTACAAAATTCATGTAATCCATCCATCGTATTTAAGGACTTAATTAACTTTAATTTCCCCAATCACACACTTTTCTTCACTGATGGCTCCAAATCTGATATGGACCACTTGGCAGGTTGCGCCTTTGTCTGCCCTTCTCTAAATTTAACTTCCAAATTTAAAATTTCAGATCACTCGTCAATTTTTTCATTAGAAGCATTTGCAATTTTATTTTGCCTAGATTATATAATCAATTCTCATCTCTCTAACACAGTTATTTTTTCAGACTCTCTTAGTGTCCTCAACAATTTAGCTTCAAAAAATACATACAAAATAAAATCTTACATAATATTTGCAATTAGAAATAGATTAAGAATACTCAACAACCTGAATCGTCCAACAACTCTTGTTTGGGTTCCAGGTCATTCAGGTATTGAAGGAAATGAAAAAGCGGACATTGCGGCCAAGGACGCAACTGCCAACCCAGATTTAGTTAACATAACTCTCCCTTTTTCTGACTTCTTTTGCCTCGCCAAAAAACAATTATTCGACAGTTGTAACTCTTTCTTTAAAGATGTAGGTAAAAACAAGGGTATTCATTATACCCAACTTTATTACAAACCGCGTAAAAAACCATGGTTTGCGAACTTTACAGCTCGCAGACTATGGATCGTTTCAATATGCCGCGCGAGAGCTAATCACTACAACCTGAACGCGAGTCTTGCTAGAAAGAATTACATCCAGTCGGGCGATTGCCCACACTGTCCTAATATAGAAGAAGATCTAGACCATATATTGTGGGCCTGTCCCAGATTCAATGCTCTTCGGGTGGACTTAATAAAATCTCTTTCGAGAGCTTTAAAATGTCCCCCTCCTTTTAGTTGCGTTCAATTTCTTACCAATCCCACCCCCAGGGTTGTTTCTCACATTTTTAGATTCTTAAAACGCGCTAAAATAAAAATCTAAATTAATTTAATTACTATTATTACTTATTTAATTATCTTTCATTTATTCTCTTTTTAAATTTCGCTCTCTCCTCCACCGTGTCTCATTACGGGTGCGCGGTGGTTCAACCGGGGACCCATCTTGGATCTCCGGTTGCACCTCCGCGCGCCCGGACGGCGACACCTTTTACTTCTGTTCACAGATGTTAAGCCTCATCCACTCACCAGGTCATGGCCGGATATACAGGCATAAAGCCAGTATAGTGCCAATCAAATTTAACTTAACTTAACTTAACCAAGCTTCGTGACCACGTCGTTTATTTCTGGTTTATTTCATTCATTTCATTGATCATTTTGTGATGAAAGTGAATGAATTATCTAATATTTTTCGTTACAAGCAATATATATTCAGGTATAATTTGAAATTTTTCAATTATTTAATTTATTTTTCAGATTTTGCACAAAAATATTGTCTTCTGATTAACATAACCTCAATATTTTTGGCGCAATTAGAAAATGATGATTGTTATTTGCAATTTACTATTGTCAATTATATCAATTGTTACTTTTATCTATAATCAAAATCATAAATGAAAAATTTGTTAATTGTGATATTTTCTGTAAACAGTTTTTATTTCAGCCAAAATTATGAGGTATACAGGAAGTTAGTTTTCTATATCCTGACATTCAACTTCGTTTTAGGAGTATATTTTTTCTTTTGTAAAAAAATACACTCTAGGTAGTAAAATCAAAATTTTATGAATAATAGTAGAAAAATGGTAAATTTTAATCTTATTTGACATAACCTGTAAATTTGTCCAAGTCTCAAAAATGGTTTTAATTCCATATTAATTTTTTTCTTCGATATAAATGAAAATTGTCTTTAGAAACTATGATATTATTAGGGAACAATTTTATCGGTTTAAAATTAAATATACAATCATAATTATATAACAAAAGCAGTAATTTTTGTAAAAAATTGTTTTATTTCATATACAAATTATAAAATACATTATTACATATAAATTATTTTTTAACAAAATGAATAATATTTATTCAGTTTTTTTCGTCTCACTCAAATACTCTCGTTTGTAGAAATTAAAAAATAACATAAAATTAAAAATAACATTTGGAATCATAGCTATTCCGGGGAATTTCGGAACTTTACACGACGGTTGTAAAGAAACCAGTGCATGGAAAATTAGAAGCACAAATTGAACCTGAAATAATAAAATTCCAATTAATTGGAACATAGTTTACAATATTATATAAAATTAATAAAAAGAATTAAAAATTGAGACTTACCATTTGTGCAATTGTTATATAGCGTTTGAATGGAAAAATCATTTTCTTAACGCCTTCTATATTGCTAAGAAGATAGTACGTGTACATTATCACATGAATCGAACAATTTAACGCTGGATAGAAAACAGCCATTCCCGAAGCGATGTATCGTGTTGAGAGCATTGCAATAGATACTGTTGTGATGTGATGGTACACGTGTAAAAATGAAACCTGATTATTTTTCTTTCGTAGTACAAAAACAATTGTTTCCGTTAGGTCAATAACTTTTAACATTGTCGCCACATAACATGCTTTGGCAAGCTGTAATTGTTTTTCACATGATTAAATTTAATCTATTGTTAATTACAAAAATATTTTGTAATTCATTTTCTTTTTTTTTCTTTATTTAAAAAAAGAATAATAGGGTTGTCACAGGTCAAGGAAATCAGGGAAAAGTCAGGGAAAGTAGAATTGGTAAGAGAATTAGGGAAAAGTCAGAGATTGTTATTAAAAGTACTATAAAAAATTAAATTTTTAGAATTCATAAGAACATTCTGAATTTTTGTGTCTTTTTTTTGCCTCATAAACTAGGAAATTACTACGAATTCTAATACACAACCTTTCTCTTGAAGAACTACCATAAAATTATTACGTTTACAATTTTCAGAAATAGATGAACTTCAAAAGGTTTTAGTTTGAAATTTTATAAAACTTCAATTTTGAATGAATTTAATTATAAATTTTAAAGAACTTAGATTTTAGAAAAAATTTAATAATTCAAATTCTTCTGAAATTAGTTAAATTTTTTAATGTATATTTAATTAATTATTAAAAATAATGGATTTATAGAAGAATTTTTATTAAAAACACTAAAAAAATTGAATTTTAGAGAAGTTACAAATGATTGCAGAAATTCAATTATTTTCCAAAGTAATAAAACTCTTCGCAAAAATTCAATTATGTTCAAAACTTTTTAATTAATCTTTTCAAAATTTCAATTATCTTTATAAATAATAAAATTCTTCGCCGAAATTCAATTATTTTCAAAAATTTTAATGAAATTCTTGCCAAAATTTCAATTATTTTCAAACATCCCTCAATTCAATGATTTTCAATATCTACTATTTTAATAAAATTTTCCAAAAGAATTCAATTATTTAAAAAAAAAATTTTGAAAAAATTCTACGCAAACATTTAATTATTTTCATAAATATTAAAAATCTTATAGGAATTCAATTACTTTTAAAATAATTTTAATATAATTTCACGAAAGGATTCAATTATTTTATAAAATTTTTAATACAATTTTTCGAAAGAATTCAATTAGTTCCTAAAATTTTGATAAAATTCTTCAATTATTTTGAAATTTTCTTCAATTATTCAATTATTTTCAATAAACTTTAAATAAAAATTTCTAAAAAATTCAATCATTCTCAAAAGTTTTGATATATTTCTTTGTAAATTTCAATTATTTTAAAAATTCTTAATTGAAATTATTAAAAAAAACTGAAATATTATCAAAAAATTCGAAGAAATTCTTCAAAAAAATTTAATTATTTATGAAAACTCTAATAAAATTGTTTATCAGAATTTCATTTTCTATTAATAATTTTCAACTTATTTTAAAACCTAAAAAGAAATTCTTCATAAAATTCAATTACTTTCAAAAATTTTAATAAAATCTTGGCAAGAATTAAATTATTTTTAATAATTTTAATAATCTTATTTGGAAGAATTCAATTATTTTCAACTATTTTTTAATAAATACTTCGCAAGAATTCAATGATTTTCAAAAATTTAAATAAAATTTATGACAAAATTTCGATTATTTTCTAAAATTTTTCAAAAAAATTAAATAAATTATTTAAAAAATTTTTAAATAAAATTCTACGCAAACATTTCAATTCATAAATAAATTGATAAATAAATAAATTCATAAACATTCAATTATTTTCATAAATTATAAAATTCATTTTAGGAATTGAATTATTGTCATAAATAATAAGACTCATCGCAGAATTTCAAGTATTTTTAATACAATTTTAATCAAATTCCTCGAAAAATGTAATTATTTAAAAAAAATTTATTAAAATTCGTCAAAAGAATTCAATTATTAAAAAATTTGTTTATTTCTTGTTGAGAATTCAATATTAATAAACATTTAATTTATTCAATAAATTATTTGTTTTTGTATTTAAATAATTGAATTCTCGTAGAATTTTCTAATAAAAAATTAATTTAAAAATGAATTTTAGTTAAAATTGTAGATAATAATTGAAAATTAAAAGCATTGAATGATGAAAATAATTTTGAAGAAGTTACAGTAACAATATTCTTATAATATATAATAATGATTTTATCACTCGGTTAACTTTAATTATTATAACACATGAAGAAATCGATCATTCCGAGTCGAAGACTCGGAGTGATCGATATCTGCATGTTCTATAATAATAATTATATTCTTATAAGTTGTTGAATTTCAAAAAGATTGAAATTTGAAATTTTTGAAAATCTTATTTCCTGTGGAAAATTAATAATTATTAAATATTTATTTAAAAAAGAAGTTATTGGTGTTTTGGAATAATTTTACAATTAAAGAAATTCGTAATTAAATGTAATAGAACATTTTTTTGAGTATCTAATAATTTTTAGAGTGAATCAGAATATTCTTTAGGGTCAGAGAGAAAGTCAAAATTTTGTCTGGAAATCAGGGAAAAGTCAGGGAGAAACAAAATTAAATTTTTGCTGCAACCCTGAATAAATCAATAGTAATTATTATAACTTATTTATATAATTTATATCCCAAACTTACCCTGACAGCATCAGGATTCATGGAATAATCTCCTTCATCACAACGTAAAGCAGTTGCGTCAGGATGAACAACCAAAATTTCTCTTATTATATAAGCATTTGCTATAATTTGAAATATATTGTAGAATCTGATAAATGTTTTTAATTCAAATGCTGCCCTATTTTTCATGAGACGAGGTCCCAAATGAAATATAAATATTATATAACTGAGTAATATTATTGCAATCGGCCATGGACTGCCCATTAAAAACCAATTTGTTACTCTTGGATCTAAAATTTAACAGGAATTATCAACATTAGAATTATTTCGATTCAATCACTTTTGCGCTTTAAGTGCAAAAAAAATAAAAATTTGAAACTAATAATAATAATAATATAAATATATAAATTTTGTATAAAATAAATTTATAAATATAACTAATATTTTCATCTTTTTGTGATAAAAGAAATAAATTATAATTTTTTTTCTATGATAAAAGGAATAAAATAAGATTTTTCTTCTATTTTATAAATCATTTGAAAAGTATTCGCTGACGTAGACAGTTTACTGTAATCGAGAAGAAGTTTAATTAATTCGATAATAGATCCGTTATTTTTTTTTCTATCTAGATTGAAAAACATGAAATTAAAGATAATTTTTGTTCTTTTTCCTTATAGTATAGTATGACATCATTAAGGATTTGAAAAACGTATTATTCCGTCCCTGTGTTTCTTTAAAGTTAAATTGCAGCATCACACATTTTTTGCATTATACGATTATTCAGCTAGATATACTTTTAAATGCAGATGGAATTATTTTCTCACATTCTACCTTTCTTGAAAAAATTCTCTTATTTTGTTAAATTAATTTTAACGGAATAATAAAATTTTTTTTAATAGAAAAAAAACTTATTAACAATTTTTAAAAACAATTGTCTCTTTAACATCTATTAAATTTAAATAATCGTTAAAAATAAGAAGAGCAGGAAAAATTGTTTTCAAGTAAAACAAATTTGAATATAGGAAAAAATTTGACACTTTTTGTAAAATGTTTATTTAAAAAATTATTATTAAATCAACTTACCTGCTTGCTCGTAATAATAGTGATTATATATATCCGTTAAATTCATTGTTTTTTCAGTGTAACTATTAACTATGATTAAATTACTTTCTTTTTTCTTATAGAGACCGTTCCTACGATTAACCCGCGTGAAGTTTTGAATCTGACTGATCTAAGTCTTTCGTTCTTAAACTTTTTAATTAGATGCTTAAAATATTTGGAAATCTCATTCATACGAAATGAAGTAGTAATTCGTTTTATAATACAAAGGAATTTCTTTTTAAGCTTCACTCTACCTCCGATACATGGAGGTGGTTTCATTAAACATGAACTTCTTGACCCATGCTTTAAAAGTTTTTATAGTATCAAGTCACTGGCTCCTCAATTCCTATTGAATAAAAGAAAGTTTTTTTCTTTATTTTTATATTATTCTACACATTATCATAATATAATGATGTAATGTACTTAATTATATATTTATCTTTTAAAAATTTATTCGATAGTTTGGAATTCAAATGGTAAATGAAAATACGTTTCCAATATGAATAATTTATTTTATTTTATTTATTTGAGTAACTTTTATATGATATTCATTATATATGTATATATTATTTATGAGCAAAGAAATTTACCATTAAATTATAAATATTTGTAGAAAATTCAAAGAAAATCTTATTTCTATTTTCAACTATAAAATTACTAATTTCTATCACAAAAAATTATTTTTATTTATAATAAGGAAAGAATTGTTGATAAATAAATAAATGAATTTGAAAATTTTGACAATATGAAAAAATTATTAAATTGGCTCTACTGTTATTTAAGAAATTTTTGAAAGAAAAACTTGACAAATGGTAGATTTCTATATTATATACTTATTTACACGAAATATTTACAGTGAGCGTAAATTTAATGCTAAAATATCGCAGAAACTTGAAAGATTTCATATTCATCCAGAGAAATATCTTTTTTTTACAATTAATTTTAGTTTCGATGTTAAATGATTTATATTTTCTTAATTTTAATAATGTTTTATGTAAAAAAAAACTTTATGTGTAAAATGGAGCAACTATTTTATTTCTTAAACTATTTGTTTTAAATGGCTTTCCAAGAGCAAACTGCACGTTGATCGTCAGGAGCTTTTCCAAAAGGCTTGGTTCCATCTGGTGCCATGTATTGATTAACTTGGTAGTCCAAAAGTACATCATAATTATAAATATCGGTACCGAGTTGCTGAAAATAACATAAAGAAATTAAATTTATTTTTTCAATTTTATTTCTTCATTGAATTGAATCTACTGAAAAAATTACTTATAATTTATTATTTATTATTTTTTAATTAAGATTTTTATGTTAATTATTATTTTATTATATATAATAATTATTAATTATTTTAACAAACAATGAAACTGATAATTTATTATTTGTAACTTATTTAAATCTCTTTTTTCAGGTGAATTAATCAGAATGTATACGATGATTAACAAATATTTGAGGAACTAAAGTAAGAACAAAAGGAAAAAAGGAGAATATTTCGAAAAGGAAGTCATGTATCTCTATTCATCCTTCTCAAATATTAATAAGGTACCTAAATGTTATTTTACTAGTATTAATTGCCTTCTTTTCATTTATATTTAATTTCAAAAACCTTTTTCTCGAAGAATTTGTCTTTAATAATTTATATAATAAACAGAGTCATTTGTTAGGGTTCTGTTTACAATGTGAAAAAAAACTGCTATTTTATGTCCCTAAAGTTTTGAACGCTCAAATGAACTTCGATATTTTTGTTAATACTTTTAATTTATTAAAAATGAGGATTTCTTGTTTAATAAATAATGGTAATTATTAACGTTTTTGAGAAAGAATTCAAAAAATGTATAAATGTATTATTAATATATTTTTTGATTACAATAATTAAATTCATTCATGGGCTGTTAAAGGCATAACAAAATATTTCACAATTTGAAAAAAAATTATTCAAATTTTTCCTAAATTATAAAGTTAATAAATTTAACTTAAAAGTTAATTAATTAAGTTACATTAAACTTGAAAGTTAATTTTAATTAGCGACTTTTTTGTAATTTTTACGTCTATTTTAAAAAAGGGACTATATAACTATAGTCAAATCTTTCAAAAATTATTTTTGAATAATTTTTTAAGTTGTAATTAAATTTTGGAAATATATAATTCAAAAGTTTTTACATAATAAAAATTTTTTAAAATCTTATTGAAAGTAATTAATTTTTTTCAAGTAATTCATTAGAATTTTTATATATCAAATTTTAAAAAATGTTAATTGCAAATTTCGGCCATAATTTAATTCTAAAAAATTTTAATGAAAAATCTTTAAATAAAAATTCATGAAACTTATCGTCAAAAAATTATAATAAAATATTTTTAAAACATGTAATTTTTAGAATTTTTATATTATAATATCTTAAAATTCAATTATTTTCAAAAAAAGTAAACTGACATTTTAAAAAATTCATTCTTTAGACTTAACGTTAAAATTTTGAAAAAGTCATGTATGTATTCATCCATATACAATTAAAATTCTTAAAAAAAGTTGTTTATTTTTTAATATTCTTAACAAATTTTTTTGATAAATTCAATTATTTTCAAAAAATTTTCCTTAATTTCAATTATTTGTAAAATTTTATACTATATATAACTATAATTGAAAATTTATTATATATAAATTGAATAATCTATTATATTTCAAAAATTATTTAAAAATATTTTTAACAAGCAATTTTTAGGAATTTTTTTATTCTCTACAAATTTAATTTTTTATTTGAGTTCTATATTTCTTTTGAAAATCAATTATTTTCAATATTTTCAAAAAAACTTTCAATACAATTTTTGTATCTAAATATTTGAATTCTCGAACTTTCATAAAATTATTAAAAGTAATTGATTTAGAGAAGAAGTTTAGTTAAAAATTGTAGAAAATTATTGAATCTTGTAAGAGTTACATAGTTGTAATTTTTAGAAATAATAAAAGTTTAGAAATTGAAATTTAAAAAATTGTGATTCCTGCGGAAAAATAAATAACAAGGATTTAAATGTTTATTTAACAAAATTATTGAAGTTTTAAATAATTGAATTTAGAAATAAGTGAAAGGTCAGGGAAATACAAACTAAAATTTGAGGGGCTGATAATAAAAATGGTATAAAATAACATCGGGAGCAAAGGTGGGATAAGTGACTTGGGAGCAAAAACGGGTTAAAATGATTGTGTAATTTATGGATAAATTAATTATAATTAATGATTAGAAAATATTTAAAATTGTAAAGAAAGACTTGTTTTCTTATAATTAATATTTTTCAAATCATTAGTACGTTTTTTTTTGCTCCCAAGTCACTTATCCCACTTTTACTCCCGTTGTTATTTTAAAACTCTTTTATTATCTCATTTTTGTGCCAATTCTGAATTAAATGAACGATTTTTTCTATTTTTGTTGTATTTTTAATCGAGTAAGCGACTTTTTTTGCGCCTTAATGTCGATTTGAGGCTTGAATTTTGAAATTGGCAAATTTCTTCCTAAATTGTAATTTTAATAAATTTTGGTTAAATAATAATTAATTAAAGTAAATTTTGAAAATTAATTTTCAATTAGCATATGTAAAAGTAATTTTAATTTTTGTTTCATTACCTGCGTGAGTGGACTAGTGTTAGTGGTGAAAATTCCCGCAAAACCTTTTCGCCTCGCTACAATTAAACATTGATGTTCCATTTCTTTCATTAACAAGACATTTTCCGCTGCACTAACATCTTGATCTGTTGCCATCATAAAACTGTGCAATATTTTCCCAAGGCCTTTTGGCAATCTTGTGTCTCTAATTGGTCCCTCTAAATATTCCAAAAATTCAAAAATCACCGTCAATTTTGATTCAATTATAACTTCCGGTTCATCCAGTGCATCAAAATTAAGTGCAACACTCAAAATTTTATCATTTTCCTTAGATCTTATCACAAAGCTAAAATTCTTCTCAACCAATGGTTTCCAAATTTTTTTCATTAACTCTGAATAATCACTTCTCAATATATCTGATAGAATCCATTGTTCCAGGTCGGCTTTCGAGTAGAAACTTTCGGTGATCATTCTGGAAAGGAAGAAAACATTTTTTCCATTAATTTGTTGTTTGGCTGAGGGAAAAAATAGGAATTTTTGAAATAGTGATAAATAGTGAAAAACTTACTCTATCACATCGTTTTGGTGTGAATCGTTCAACATTTCGGTGTAATAATTTTTATTCGAATTTATGTCTTCGTCTGAATTTAAATCCGAACTGAGTTTCATTCGGTGTAAAATTTCAGCCATTGTTTTAGCTGTGATAAAATCGGTTATGCTAATTTCATATCCTTGATCTTTTAGTTTTGTCACTGTGTAAATTGAATTCAGAGAATTTCCACCTAAATGGTAAAAATTCGAGTCAATTGTTATTGCATGTCGAGTACTATGTCCAATTACCGATGCAACTGTTGGAAATAGAACTTCGGCTTTTGCCATATCTTCTTCTGGCACTCCGGAATAATCACAATCAATAGTTGCATGATTGTCTGAAAATGAAGGGTATGCAATTTAAAATATCAATATTTCCAATATTCATCAATCAATATCTAAATTAAAATATTCGATTTTGAATTTTACTTTTTAATTTAAGGACGTTCATCTAAAGAAATGCAGACCTCCAAAAACATATAATCAATTAACTTTGGAAAATTAAAAATTTTATTATTAATATCTAGTATTTACTGGAAGAACAAATATCAATTTTCAAGAAAAACATTTAAAATCTAGAAAATTTCTTTACTTATACAATTTGCATATATGATCAAAATTTTCTGTCATATCGCTTCTATAGAATTTTTAAAAAATGAATCGATTTTAATTTAGTATCGCTTATTCTCTTCAGAAAATGATTCCCTACAAATTAACCGCACGTATTTTTTAACAAGCACGCCGTTTTGAACATATGCTTATTTGTTTAAAAAATGAAAATTTTCTTTTAAACAAATAAGAATTTAATTCTTGAAAAACTATCAAAAAACTATTACTTATCTATAAATTATTTAATAAATAATTTTACTTAAAAATTTCAAAAATAATTGAATTTAATATTATAAGAGTTGAATTTACAATTTAAAGAAGTTCTTCCAAAAAAAATTTAATTATTTACGAAAACTCTAATAAAATTGTTTAAAAGAATTTAATTTTCTATTAATAATAATTTTAATAAAATCTATATATTAATAATCGTTGTAATTTCAGTAATCTGTTCGCAGTTTGAAGTTAGTTGTTGTTTGCTTTTTTGTTTCCTAACTTTTTTAAAAAAAAGTTTTTAAATATTTTCAATTTAAAAATTAATGTATTGAAAATCAATGAGTTCTTGCAAAGAATTTTATCAAAAAATTTGAAAATAATTTAAATCTTTCGAAAAATTTTATCAAAAAATTTGAGAATAATTGAATTTCTTTAAAGAATTTTAGTAAAATCTTTGAAAATCGTAATTAAATTCTTCTGAAGACTTTCTTTGAATATTTTTAAAATAATGGAGTTTTTTAAATAATTTTAATTGAAAATTTTTAGAATAATTGAATTAAACAAAGAATTTTTTTCAACTTTTGAAAATAATCGTGTCTGTTAATAACTATAATTAAAAATATTTGATTATTGAAGTTTATTAAAATTGTATTAAAAATAATTGAATTCCTGAGAAGAATTTTATTATTTATAAAAAATAATTTAATTCTGGCTATGAATTTTACTACCCGTGTGGAAAAAGCCACGCTCGAGCCCCACAGCTCCGAGGCCCCCGTTGGGGGCCCTCGTGGAATATCCATGAGGAGAAATCCACGAGGGCACCAGCAGGGGCCCCGTTCTTTGCCCTTACGGTTGCCCTGCTCAAAAATTTATCTAAGTTTAAAAAAAAAATTTTTTTATTAAGAAACTTTAGTTCAGATTGCATTAAATTACATTTCAAAGCACCTGAAATAAACATTAAGTGACATTTTTCCAGAAATCCTATCACAAAGCACCAGCAGGGCCCCTGCTCTTAGCCATTATGAATGCCCTGCTCAACAATTTTTCTAAGTCCAAACAAAAAATTTTTTTTACAACAAAACATTATTGTTTACAATTATTTTAAACAATGAAAAACACGTTTTTCATAAATATTTAATGTTACTTTTTTTGAAAATATTGAACTTATCTAAGGGCAAATCCTTGAGGGCCCACGCGAGGGGCCCTCATGGATCGCCCACATCATTGACTAGCAAAAATTTCTAAGTCCAAACAAAAAATATTTTTTTACATAACAAAAATTAATGTTTATAATGATTTTAAACAATGAAAAACACGTTTTTAACACAAATGTTTTGACATTTTTTTTTTTTTTTGAAATGATAAAAATATTAATTTATGAATATTTATGGTCTATTATTATATTATTAATATTGTTATTATTATTATTAAATTATTTAATTATTTGTCATGGTGTATTAGTCTCAATAAATAATTTATTGAATTATCAAAAGCAAGTCAGTAAGTCACCTACAATAAAGCAATAATTTTCAAGTAGGTCCCGTAGCATAGTGGTAAGAGTGTTGTCTATCCGATATTGTATCATGTCTTGAGACACTCACGGGATAGAGTCGTCAAATTTAACTCGGATGATTTGCTGGCGGAACCGGAAATCAAACTGCGCTTCTCCCAAGAAATGCAAAATAAAGATAGAATCAAAAACTATAGAATAAACAAACATAAATATTGGTGGCTAAAAAGCGCCCCGTTTTAATTGGTTGGGTAAGGGATGCACATTCCTTAAGCTTGTTAATTTTTACAAAAATAAATATATATGAATTGTATAAATGTTAAAAATTGCTAAAAACATAAAGTCCTGCATAGAAATATGTAAAAGAAATATGTATGTGTATATTTTATTATTTACATTTTAATATAAAAAAAAATAGTTAACGTTAACTAAAATAAAGAAAAAGAACAAAAATAATTATATATATTTTCACTTTAACTCTGTTTTCTTTTCTCTCTCTTTTTAAACCAACCCTAATAATGTACACCGTAGAATTCCCCTTTATCAACAGATAAAAATCAAATAAAGAAAAAAATTCAGTTTTTATCATTTTTTTTTAAATTTTTCTGAATTACAATTGTATTTATAAAAATAATCTTAAAACAATAGGTTATAAAGAACGAATGTGATGTATGAGTAATGAGAGATTAATAAACGATAAAATTCGACGAGATGGCCATGTTAGCCCGCATCGATATCTAATATAAAAAAAAAAATATATATTTACACGATTTTTGTTCATTTGTTGTCGTTTGTTGTACTATATATATATGCATTGTTTAAATAAATGATCTTAAAAAAAAAAAAAAAAAAAGAGTGTTGTCTAGTAGTTAGTAGGTCGTAGGCTCAATTCCCGCGTGCGTCAGATTTTTTTTTTTTTTTTTTGGTCACGATTTAATTAAAAAAAGTTAAAATGGATATTAAAATTGTTAAATAAGAATGTTATTTATGAATAATTGGACTAATTTGTTATTAATAAATAATTAATTTATTAATTTAATTGAAAATAAAGTTGAGGGCATTTTATGAAATCCACGAGGGCACCGCGTGGAAAATCCATATGGAATCCATGAGGATTTTCCTCGAGGGCACCCATGAGGGAAAGCATGTCACGCCTTCGAGGGCTCCACGTGGATTGCCATTACGGATTCCACATGGCAAGAGGGCAATCCACGAGGGCCCCGCCGGGGGCCCTCACCATTTTTCTGCACGGGTACTTATAAAAATAATTAAATTGTTTCGAAGGATTTATTAAAATTTTAGAAAATAATTGAATTCTTTCGTGAAATTTTATTAAAATTTTGTTGAAAATAGTTGAATTTTTTTTGCAAAAATTTACTATTTATAAAAATAATTGAATTTTTCCGAAAAATGTTATTATTTATATGAAAATAATTGAATTCTTGCTTAATAATGAAATTGAGGGGCTGGATTGTGAATTCCTTTTTCTTGAAAATTAATATTTTTGTTTTTCTAAAAAATACTGTTAATAATATTTTCACTATTATTAGTTATACAATAATATAATAATACTATTGCTATTAATAATAATATTTTAATTATTTAAATATTAATTAATAATTTTTTGAGGTCTGCATTCTCTTGGATGAACCACCTTAAGTGGTTGGAAATAAAAAAATTACCGTTATGAGATGATAGTTCGAATTCTTTTAAGAGAGTTTGCCTATCTGTTTTTCCATTAGTCAACAATGGTATAGAGTCGACGATGATAACTTGCGGAACCATGTAAGGAGCCAGAAGTGTTTGCATAAAAGATTCGATTTGTTGACTAGAAATATTATTTTCCTTTACAGTTACAAATGCTACCAGTGCCTGAAAATAGAAATTTCTTTTGTCATCTTTTTAAGAATCTTTATTTACTCAAAAAGTTCTTCGAAGTGTATTTCCAAAGTATTTTATCAGTTTCAGCAGAAATAACTCTCTTACTTTTTACTTCTTTAGTAATCCAAGAAAAATCTTTGGGCAAATTAACTGAACCCGATTTTTATGGTTAAAAAATTGATAATGAATATAATATAAATTTTAGTAATATTCATCTTAAAACACTTTCAAATCGCAAAAAAAGAGTTATTTTCATAATTATTTTTAGACTTTTCATTAAAACTTTATTAAAATAGTGTACATTACATCAGATTGTACATGGTTTTATGCAATTTTAGCAACTTTGAAATTTGAAAAATTTATATTTTTTTTGGTCAAAAAATCGGTTTTTAAAAAACCTAAAAATTTGATTTTTGGGTAAAATCATTGCTATTTATAGAACATTTTTTTTTCTCAAAACCCTTCGTTCATGAACAAGGTGATATAGTAAACTATCAAAATATCCATTGATTTTGATTTCAGTTGAGTTGTTCCCGTTTTATCGTGCACACCGCAAGCTGCTTTAAAAAAAAGTTTTTTGGGGCAAAAGCTACAGTTTGCACAAATATTAATATTTTTCAAGTTTCAAAGTTGCTAAAAGTGCATAAAACCATGTATAATCTGATGCAATGTACAAAAAATCAATTTTTAAAAATTTTTTAGTATAAAAAATTTGAAATCACGAGTTTTAGAACAAAATCTTAAAAAATTTTCTATTTCTGATAAAAATTGAATTTTAGAATTGAATTTTTTCAAATACTTCAATAATAATTTCAATTTATTTAAAATAATTTAATGCTCGTAGAATTGCTCATAATTAATTTAATGAATAATTTCACTTGAAAATATGTGCTTGCAGTTTAAAAAAATGTTTATGTGTTTATCGTTAAATCTTGTGGTTCCGTGGATTTGCCCTTATTAGCTTCAATATTTTTCTATTAATTACAAATATTTATTGTTCTTCTTTAAATTTGTTAGTCCCTTACAAACAAAAATTGTAGCAACGAAAAATGCAAATTTAGTTAAATTGTTTTTGAACAATTTTGAGAAATGTCGAATTTCTTTTAGGGGCAAAAGATTATATTATTAGACAGATGAAGTACTTTAAAAAAGAAGTTTTTTCATACTTGTGAAAGTTCTCCAGGTTTATAGCACAATACAACTGCTTTATCAACTTCCGCTACATTCACAAAAGCTTTCTCAACTTCCGACAAATCAACCCTGTGTCCTCTGATTTTTATTTGCGAATCAGTTCTTCCCTCATAATAAACGATACCACGATCAATTCTTGCATAATCTCCAGTACGAAAAATCACTGAATATTCTGAAAAAAAAGTTTTTCATGCAAATTAGCGTATTTTATCAAAGATGAAAAAAACATATCAAGTAGCATAATTATATCTGTAAACTAAAGTCTAGAAATAAATCTTTAATCAAAAGTAAAAAATTTGTTATAAAACAGATTTATCTCTGTTTTTTTTAATAAATAGATTTTTAATTTATTCCAATCATAGTACATCGTAAATAATCTACTGTATTATTAAATAATAGCAAATGAATCGGATTAAAACCTTGGATATAAAAGAAAGGCGTAGGCATTTCAAAGGAGGGTAACCTTAATAACTATATGGGTTTTTTTATATTATGCAGATCTATGTTCAATTTATGCTTTAAAAATCTCTATTATATAGAATTAAGTTAATTTTATCGACTTTTAATTTTTATGGAACGCCCCTTTTGTCAGTTATTAATTATTTCCTGTCACCGATACAATTTAAAGTTTTAAATTTAAATTTAATCACAGAAGCCTGTTCATATGGAATGTATTTATGCACTTATTTATAAATTTTATTTTCACTTCTTTAGTAATATTTTTTTTGTTAGGTGAAATAAAGCATTCTAGTCTTGTTTTTTAGACTTGCAATAGTGTATTTTGAAAAAATGTAAAGTAATTAAAAGTATAGGTCTTGGCTAGTATATGACTTTTACGACTATTTGAAAAAAATATGACTTTTTCAATTTTTTTCAACATATTGCAACAAAATACCATTTTTTATAAAATGTAACTTATTTCAATTTTCATGGTGTGAAAAGTAACTATGGTTAAATCTTTTCCTTTCCAAAGAGTCTTACTTTTGTTCCAAGATTTTTAGAGCTTAAAAAAGATCTTTGTCTATACTGTAAAAAATTGGCAAATTACGACAATTTTTTGGGTACTAAAACCTTTATTTGTAATATTTTAAGACCTAAAAACAGTTTTGATTAAAAAATACTCCGTTCTCATTTGACAATTATTTTGCTGTGTTTCAAAGTGAAATTATTCTTTAAAACAAATTTAAAAAATTTAATTTTAAATATTTTTTCAAAATTTATTTTTGAGTTAGACTTGTTTTTACATATTTACGAATTTCAACAACAAATGAGTTGTTACAGATAAGAAAAATAGAGTGTTTTGTGAAAAGTAGTAGAAAAACATCAAATTTTTTAAAATGATACAAGAATTCTGATTTTTGGGGTCTTTTAAAAATATTAAAAACGATAATTGTTCTTGAATTTCCTATTTTACCTTACAGAAATTTAAAAAAAAACTATAAAGTATTACAGTTAATTATTTTTATAAAAAAATTTTAATTTTTATGTTTAAATAATTCGATTTTCAATTACCTTTCTGAAAATTATCAAAAATAAGTATTTGCATTTTTTTGAATAATTAAATTCTCACAGATGTTTCTCAAAATTATTAAAAATATAATACATTTAGAAAAAAATGTTATTTTAAAAAAACTTCAATTTTATTTTAAAAAACATCTATTTTTATATTTAAATTATTGAATTCTCGAATACCTAACTTTCTAAAAATTTTTTAATTTACAGAAGAATTTCACTTTAAAATTCTAAAAATAATTGAATATTGTAAAAGTTATAGGGAAAATTTCTCCAAATAATTAAAGTTAGAAAGATTTCGAATTAAACTTTTTATAAAATGCTAAAAAATATTTTAAAAATTTTAATTCAAAATTGTTTTAAATTTTGTAATATTTATATTATTAAATAAGAAACTTTTAAATCATCGAAATTTCGTAATTTATTGAATTGAAAATTTTTGAAATTTAAATGAATTTTAACTTTTAAGTGGACTTTTTTTAAAATAATTAAAATCTCGAAGGACTTTTCCAAAATTATCAAAAACAATTAATTTAGAGAGGAATTTCAGTAAAAGGTTTTTTTTTGAAAAATTTCAATAGATAATATTTAGTAATAACACAGGCACACAAAAAAAAAAGTTTCGTGGCCGAGACACTACAGTAGTATATTCCCATGTATTTTTGGCCGCTGAATCCGAATCTGAAGTCCGAATGCTCAAATTGGTTCTTTTTTTTGAGTTATACTCAAAAAACGACTCAAAACACGAATTTGAACCAAAAAAATTAAAAATTTTTTTGTGAGGCATGACAATAGCATATTTCCATGTGTTTTTTCGCGCTAAATCCGGATTCGAAGTCAGAATTGACAGATGTGCTCAAAATTTTGAGCTAGACTCAAAAAACCGAATTAAAATGACGAAAATGAAAAATTTTTTCTGTGACACTGCAAAAGTATATTCCTATGTATTTTTTCATGCTGAATCCGAATTCGAAGTCAAAATTGACAGATTTGCTCAAAATTTTGAGATAAACTCAAAAAACCACTCAAAAAAAGACTCAAAAATCCGAATTAAGATGAAAAAATTTTTTATGACACTACACTACTATATTCCCATGTACTTTTTCCCGCTGAATCCGAATTCGCAGTCAGAATTGACAGATTTGTTCAAAATTTTGAGATAAGCTCAAAGAACTGATAAAAAAAGCGATTTAAAATAAAGAAATGGCAATTTTTTGCTATGACACTACATTACAGTATTTCCATATATTTTTACACTCGGATCTCGCATTTGAAGTCAGAATTATTCTAATGGCTCAAAATTTTGAGACACACAAGAAAATCTGTTAAGTTACAAAAATTAAAGTCAAGAAACTCTACACTTTTCTTGCTAGTACACTACATTAGTATATTTTCATGTTTTTACATCTGCTTCTAAATTCAAAGTTAAAATGATTAAATTGGCTCAAAATTTTAAGTTAAATCCAAAAATGCTCAAAATTTAATATAATGCAAAAGAGTTCATTTTTTTGGTATTCGGTAGTGTATTCTCATGAATTTTATATACGCTGAATACAAATTCGAAGTTAGAATTATCAGAATGATATAAAATTTTTTAGAACTCAAACCCTGGTTACAGGTACAAGCATGCATGTTTTTGAGCACTTTTAATGAAATCCAAAATTTTGAGCCACTTTGAAAATTCTGACTTTGGAATCACAGTGAAAAAATACATGGGAATACACTAGTGTAGTGTCATAGCAAAAAATTTCCTTTATTCATATTAAATTACATTTTTATCAGTTTTTTGAGTATATCTCAAAATTTTGAGCAAATCAGTCATAAATCTGTCAATTCTGACTTTAAATGCGAGATACGATATGGAAATACTGTAATGTAGTGTCATAGCAAAAAATTTCCATTTCTTTATTTTAAATCGCTTTTTTTATCAGTTCTTTGAGCTTATCTCAAAATTTTGAGCAAATCTGTCAATTTTGACTTCGAATTCGGATTCAGCGTGCAAAAATACATAGGAATATACTTTTGCAATGTCACAGAAAAAATTTTTCATTTTCGTCATTTTAATTCGGGTTTTTGAGTCGTTTTTTGAGTTTAGCTCATAATTTTGAGCACATCTGTCAATTCTGACTTCGAATCCGGATTCAGCGGGAAAAAATACATGGAAATATGCTATTGTCATGTCACAAAAAAAATTTTTAATTTTTTTGGTTCAAATTCGTGTTTTGAGTCGTTTTTTGAGTATAACTCAAAAAAAAGAACCAATTTGAGCATTCGGACTTCAGATTCGGATTCAGCGGCCAAAAATACATGGGAATATACTACTGTAGTGTCTCGGCCACGACACTTTTTTTTTTGTGTGCCTGTGTAATCAAATCGTTAAATACTTATTTTAATAGAAATTATTAAACTCTTGAAAAAATTTTTAGAAAAATATTTTAAAAGAAATACAGTAATAATTATAACATATTTTTAGAATATTTTTAGAAATAATTAAATTTTTATTATTGAAATAAATTGCATGTTTAAAAAAAAACTAAAACGGTTCTTTTTGCGCGTCAAAGTCTATTCAAGGCCTGGAAGTAAAAAAAAAAATGTACAATGTACTGTAGATTTATTCTAATTTATCTAAACATAAAATTTAGTGAATTGTAAATTGAAATTCAATAATATTGCTTTAAATAACCGACCTGGATCAATTACGTGAGGATTATCCAAAAACTTATGAGCATCTCGTCCTCGAATGTATCCAGCTGCTAAATTCTTTCCTGCAACCACTAATTCTCCAACTTCACCTTGAGGAAGTAATCTCATCTCTTTACTGACGATATAAACTATTGAATTATCTACTGGTTTTCCTAAGGAACAATTTTTAATGGTTAAATAATTGTTACTACGTTTACTAATAAACTGGTAATTATTTAACTATTATTGCTCACTGGCAAAATGATTAATCATCATTTGCAATAATTTAAAAAGCAATAAATATCTCTTTACTTCCGTAGAAAATAAAGGAAAAAAAGTACATCTGAATTGTTTACCTATTGGGATCTTGTCAATATCTTCTAATTGTGAATGTTCGCTTAGAAGGTGAAATGTAACATCTCCCATAACTTCTGTACTGCCATAAAAGTTTGCTAATAATTTTTCATTATTGCCAAAGCGAGAGAAGAATTCTTGCGCTAAACTAACGGGTAGCGTTTCACCGGAACATATCCATAATTTTAAATCCGATAAAGCATCTTTTCTGTTCTGAAATTGTTAACAAAGTGCTTGATTAAAATATTGCGCAATATTCCTTGATGATGAAACAAGAAAAAAAATAATTTAAAAAAAAATATTGAAAATAGGTTTCGGAAAAAAATACCTCAAGGCTCAAATACATTAGCATCGATCTTAGTAAAGAAGGCACCAGAACAAGTCGTTGGATCTGTAATTATACATTTAAATTGTTTTCTGGCTACTTGTTGAAAAATTTATATACATTTTTCTCCTATCCTTGCTTTTAAAAAAACATATTTTTCTGCCTTGTTTGTTACAGAATTTGAATTTAATGTTAGTTTTACTACTTTTCTTTTACTTTAATTTTTATATTTTTGCAATAAAATACCTGATGTTTCTCGAGCATTTGGACAAATTTTTCTGGATCTTTTGTTAGTGGTCTTGGCATGACAACTATTGTACGTCCTTGTAATAGTGGTCCCCATATTTCAGGTGCACTATCAACGAAAGTTAAAGCTGTTTTAAAAATACATTTCTCCTCTGTTGGGGAGAATGGCAATTCCCTCCATTGCCATTGTAAACGATTCAATAAAGCTGTGTGTGGTAATCTGACTCCTTAAAAATTGACAATATTTAGAAAATATTCTTTTTTTTCAGTTTTAAACGTTAAAGTAAAAAAAAAATTAAAAAACTTACCTTTTGGAATTCCGGTACTTCCGGAAGTGTACAAAACAATAGCAAGTTGTTCTGGACTTTCATTCAATCGCAATGGATCCTCCCATTCTTTGTGTGATTCGGCCAAAAGTTGCTCATAAGTTGATAATTGATTTCCTTGATATATTGATCTGTCCTCTATTAAATAAACAGATACCTAAAATAAATATCCCTCTATTCAAAGGAATAAAATTTGAATGCTAATTATAAATAATTTCTCTGCTTTTGAATTTGCTAAATGCAAATATAATCAGGCCTCGGATTGTATGACTTTTTTCAACTACTTTAAATCATTTTCAAAAAAATCTGAATTTTTTCGACCTATTTTTATGAATTTTGACATTTTCGCTTTTTCTTTTACATATTGCAATAAAATATGCAGTCAACTTTCGATAATTACGAGATTTCGAAACTCTCTAAATTTGAATCAGTTAAAAATCATAGTTTGTAACATCATAATTTGTAACTGACTTTTTGCTTCTGAATCAGTTAAAAATAACTCATTGTCAGTAAAAAAATGGCTAATTATCAATAAAAATTAACTGAAAAATTGAATCAGTTAAAATAATTACTAAAAAATCAGTTATGCTACTTATTTCGATTTTTTTAGAGTGAAAAATAACTAAAGTCAATTTTTTTCTTATAAATCAAAATAATAAATATTTGATTGAAATAATTTTGAATAATAGAAATGTCATAAAATTGAAATTAAAACTTTTAAATTTCTAACGTATTTTAAGTGAAATTTCTTTCTTTTTTTTGAATAATTGAATTCTCAAAAAACTTTTTTAAAATTATTAAAAATAATTGATTTAGAGTTGAATTTTAGTTAAAAATTCTAGAAAATAATTGAATTTTGGAAAATTTTATATTTTAAAATGTCTTAATACAATTATTACAAATAATTGTTTTTAAAGAAAAATGTGAAGTAATTATTAAAAAATTGTATTTTAGAGCTTAAAACATAATTTTCTCATTAAAAATGGAATTATTATTTATTAAATGGTCGAGCGAGTTCTTCGATACAGCTCCTCATTTATTAAAATTGTAAAAAATATTTGAATTTTTTTTTGAAATTTTATTGAAAATAATTGAATGATTTAAGAAAATAGTTGAATTTTTGCAAAAAATTTTACTAATATTATAAAAATAATTGAATTCTTGCGAAGAATTATATTAAAATTTTTGAAAATATAAACAATAATATGATTAATTATGTACTTAATAAGAGAATTTTTCAAATTTTGATTATGAAATTATTCAAAAATTTATAGTCGCAAATAAAAAATTTTGTTGTTTGCATAATAATAAAAAGAATTCAATAGCACGTTCCGCGCGTAACATTTTCTAGTTTAGTTAATGAAATGAAAAACTTTCTATTTTTTTTTTTTGACCAAAGCAAATAAAACTAATTTTTTTAGCCTTAAAGTCGATCCGAGGCCTGTGTAATCAACTCGACTGATTTAATAATAATTTAAAAAATAAATCCTCTCGTTTGACTATTAAAAAAATTACACAATTTGACCTAAATTTTTCGTTTCCTGCTATAAATTTTACTTTTTCCTAAGGTGATGAAATCCTATAATAGAGACAATTAATGAAGTTTTTTTTATAATCAAAGTTGAATAAATAAATCTCTAAAAAGACGGACAACAAATGAATAAAAGATTCTTCGTGAAAATAGTAAACATAGACAATTTAAATTTACACTCGCTATCATACCCAGTCAATTGACAGGAAAAAGTAGTTTCCGTTTACCTCTTTAATCGAGACTTGTTTCAGACGCTAGCAAGGTTTTTTTTATCATTCTCTCTCTCTCTTAAAGTCGACAATATAAAAGGAAATAGATATACTAATAAAACTTAACATAATCTACATACCAACACGCTTATAATGTACGGGTAATTACTTTTTAGTTACATATTTTTTTAATGTTAATAATAAAATTGTAAATATGACAAATTAAAAGAAAAAAAAATAGCAGGAAATTATATAGCTTTTCTAAGGATAGATAAAAATCTGACATTTCAGAAACGACTTTGAAAATTTTTAAATTACTTAATAGCATTTAAAAGATGCCGGAAGTTTATAAGGGTATAATTTTCACCTGTAAACTTTTAATAGATACTTGTAAATGAAAATGTCAATCTGCCAATTTTTCAAGGAAATGAGTTTTAATAATATATAGAAATTATTTTTATGATACTATTAAATAAAATATATTTTACCTCCTTCTTCAATAATGACCAATGTTGGTTGTGATTCATTCAGAATGTGCTTTATTCTTCCTGCGGGAAATTCAGAGTCCAATGGCAGATAAGCCATTCCAGATTTGAGAATTGCTGTTAAAATAATTGGCAATCGTTCCGTTGGTTTTAAACAAACAGCAACTATATTTTCCGCATTATTATTTTGATTGCAATATCTGCGAAGTGTTTTTGCCAATCGATCAGTTGTTTTGTTAAGATTTTCATATGTTATTGAAAGTTCTTGACCACTTCCATCTGAAATTTGTTTTTGAATTCATTGTTTTAGGGAAGGTAGCAAAAATTAATAAGAAGTAATAAAAAATTATGTAGTTTCTTTCTACTTTAATTTGATTTTGTCTCTTTTGACCAAATAAGCAGGGTCGATTCGTTCATTACATGAATTAGCAAGTTTTTGATAATTTTTAGTCAAAAATAACTAATTAATTAGTATAAAAGACTATACTGATTAGTTTAGTAAAGCTTCTACTTTAATCTTAACCGAACTAGTAGTTTTACATCCAATTAGTTCATTTTGACTAAAAATTAGTTATACACATTAAGAAAACAAATCAACACTTTTGACGGAAAAAAGCTTCACTTTAAACAGCGATAAGTTTATCTAGAATAGAGGAAGTTTTTAATAAAATAACTAAAGATTTATCCAACATAGTAAAATTTGTAGAAGTTCGAAGAGAAGCTTTTCCCCTAGAATTGAATTAAACAAAAATGTCTCACACTTCTAAATTTGAATTAAAGTACACTGTAAAAAAAGAATAACATTTTAATTTCCTACAGAATTGTATAATAAAAATCTAATCTTTTTGGAGTTAAATTTAGAGAGTTAACATTTTATTTCTCTTTTTAACTCCTTCACTAAATATAACTACGAAATAATTCCCAAGGGAGTTATAATGATAAACTATTTTTGTTTTACTCCCAATGTCATATACTCCTTAAATTTTTTACAGTGTAACGGCACTAGTATAGTCGATCGGCATCAATACTCGATCAGTTTAATATAATTCAGGGTTGCCACAGAAATAAATTTAATTTTCAGAATTCATAAGAAAATTTTGAATTTTGATGTCTTTTTATTTGACTCATAAACTATGAAATTACCACGAATTCTACACAGTAAAAAGTAAATCTTAATTTAAGATTATATATTTAAGAGCTGCCTTAAATTCAACACTGTCTGCTATAATGTTAAAGGATACGAAAAACGTGAGTAAATTCAACATTGACTGTCTTAAAAATGTTGCATCTTAATTTAAGGCAGCTTTCGTGCCTTAAAATAAGATTTTCTTTTTACTGTGTAGGTAATACAAAACCTTCAATTTTTTTATATTTCTGACAATTATATTTTCTTTTTCTTGAAAAGGTATCATAAAATTATAACTTATAAATTATTTAAAGAATAATTTTACTTAAATATTTCAAAATTAATTGAATTTTAAAAGAGTTGCGTTTACAATTTTCGTAAATAGAATAGATCAACTTTAAAAGGTTTTAATTTGAAATTTTATAAAATTTCAATTTTGAATAAATTTAATTAGAAAATTTAAAGAACTTATATTTTTGAAAAATTTTAATAATTCAAATTCTTCTGAAATTAGTTAAATTTTTTAATATATATTTAATTAATTATTAAAAATAATGGACTTTTAGAAGCATTTTAGTTAAAAACACTAAAAAAATTGAATTTTGAAGAAGTTGACTTATTGACTTATTTTTTATATCCGTTTTTTGTATTAAGGGCTCAGCCCGTGTAAGAATCTTAAATAAATAAATAAATAAATAAAGTTAGAAATGATTGCAGAAATTCAATTATTTTTAAAAGTAATAAAATTCTTCGCAGAAATTCAAATGTTCAAAAATTTAAGAAAATTCTCGTCAAAATTTCAATTATCTTCAGAAATAATAAAACTATCCGAAATCCATTTATTTTCAAAAATTTTATTAAAATTCTTGACAAAATTTCAATTATTTTCAAACATCCCTCAATTCAATGATTTTAAATATATATACGTACTATTTTAATAAAATTTTTCAAAAGAATTCAATCAAAAAAAATTCCAAAAGAATTATTTAAAAAAAATTTTGATAAAATTCTACGCAAACATTTAATTATTTTCATAAATAAAAAAAAATTTCATAGGAATTCAATTATTTACAAATTTGTTATAAATTTTTTTCCAATAATTTAATTATTTTCACAAATAATAAACATTTTTAAAGGAATTCAATTATTTTCAGAAATAATAAAATTCATCGCAGAATTTCAATTATTTTCAATAAGTTAAATGTTAATCAAATTCCTCCGAAAATGTATTTATTCTTAAAAATTTTATTAAAATTCTTTGAAAGAATTCATTTATTTAAAAATTTGTTGATAACATTCTTTATGAAAATTAAACTCTAAGAAATAATCAATTTGTCAATAAATTACTTATTTTAATACTTAAATAATTAAATTCTCGAAGATTTTTCTAATAAAAATTGATTTAAGAATAAATTTTAGTTAAAAACGATAATAATTGAATATTAAAAGCATTATAGAATTAATTTTTAGATATAATGGAACTTTAAAAAGGTTTTAATTTAAAATCTTTAAAAATTTCATACTTTTAATTTAATAATTCTGTAGATTGAATTGTAAACAAATGGATTTAAAAATTCTCAAAGAACTTTTGCAAAAATTATTAAAAATAATTGATTTAAAGATGAATTTTAGTTAAAAATTCTAAAAAATAATAATTGAATTGAAATGATGAAAATAATTTTGAGGAAGTAACAATAACAATATTCTTATAATATATTTATATAAAATAATGATTTTATCACTTGGTCTTTTATTTTTTCCATAGGAATTAAGATTTTCAAAAAATTCATATTCAAACCTTCGAAGTAATCAATTTCTTCATCTCTACATTTCATTCTATAAATTTCATTACCCTAAGTCTTCGACTGGGAGTGATCAATTTCTTCATGTTTTATAATAATATTCTTCCAAGTTGTTGAATTTCAAAAAGGTTTGAATTTAAATTTTTTGGAAATCTTAATTCCTACCTATGGAAAAATAATATTGATTCAATATTTATTTAAAAATAAAGTTCTTAATGGGTTTAATGGTTTAAATAATTTTACAATTAAAGATATTCGTTAATAAACGCAATAGAACGTTTTTTTGAGTATCTAATAATTTTTAGAGTGAATCAGAATATTCTTTAGGGTCAGGGAAAATATCAAAATTTTGTCTAGAAATCAGGAAAAATCAAAATTAAATTTTTGTGGCAACCCTAATGTAATTGAATATAAATATAAGTAATAGTTGTATTAACTTAGCATAAAAAAGTTCATAATATTCCAAATACATATTTATATCACATACATATTTAAAACCTATTCTTATTATATTTTATACTTAATTACAAAGAAACAATTGAATTCATTCAATTTTTGGAGAAAAGAGGGAGATAAAATTAACATTTAGGGACCTAACAATTACATGCTGTTAATGTTAACTTAAGCTAATTTGTTTATTATAGATTAAGCCAAAAACAAAATTTCAAATTCAGTGCTTCATTTTTAATTTATTAATTTTTTATAATCTTATGTTAATTTGAAAAGATGTTGATCGACAAATGGTGCCTTTGTAAAATATTGTCCACTAACTTAAATTATTAAAAAAAAATGATTGATTGTAAGTTTTCACTAACACTTTAGAAAAAATGTAATACTATTGAACAAATTGTAGTTAAATACTAAATATTTTTTCTATTTTGAGTTTTTGGACAAACTTTTTAAAGACAGGAACTTTCTCCTTGAGTATAAATTTAAAAACTATTGTGTGCTTTAGAAACTCCCATTAAGGTTTTTTTTAATGATATTTGCAATTTACGAAAGATTGTTGTATAAATTGTTATAAATAAAAATAAAAAATTTAAAATTTAAATTTAAAAATTTAAATTTAATTAAAAATTAATTTAATTAATTAATTTTAATTAATTAAATTAAATTAAATTTATTTAAATTTTAAAAAATTTTAAATTTATTGTTATATATTATTATAAATTGTTGTATAAATCACAAATGCAAACATGCATAAAGTTTTACATATTTTGTTGATTAAAAAGAATCTAATACGAAAAAAGCGAAATAGAAAAATATTAGCAACTTGTTTAAGCTATAAATTCTAAATTTATCTTCAGGGGGTGGTACTTTCTTAATTGACTTTATGCAAATTTAAATATAAATTGCCTTGGTCCAATTTACCTTCATATAGAATTGCTGTTCGATTCGGGTATTTCGTTGCAGTTTCGGTTAAAATGTTGTGAATTAATTGCTTCTTGTCACTGAATGGAGTATTATTTCCTTTTAGAACCGATTGTTGTTGAAGAGAACCCATCTGAAAACAAATAAATTTCTAATAATTCATTCTAATGATCCAATAATTGTCAATATTTATTTAGATAAAAATAATTATCTAAATTGGCATAAATAAAAATATTAGTATTTTATTTATTGATAAAATCGCACTTATTACCTAAAGTGAAACTCTTATTTTGATTTACTGGCAATAAAAATAAATAAACTTTAATTGTTGATAATTTATATTCAAGTTATTATAATGCAAATGAGTGAATACATTGAAATAATATAGTATAAATCTTTGAAATACTATAAATAATGAAATTTTATTGAAATAATCGTTGTTGACAAATTGATTCTGTGTTGAATTATTTGTAATCAAAAGAAGGTTCTCCATAAAGGATAAAATAGGAAAAATTTGTAATGCAAATTTAAATTGATTATTAATTTCCGTTATTTCTTGACACTAGAAATTATATTGAATAAATCTATTTTATCGAGAAAGAGAGAGAGACAGAGAGAGAGGGGGGGATAAATTCATTTCTACTTTAATTACCTATAGAAAAATCTCTTTCGTTTTTTTTCATTAATTACTGCGTTGAGAAAGAAATTTCTTGTGCAGATATGTACTTATAATGTATGCACATACATATACAGTCAAGAGATTATAATTTCGAAACTTGTAAAAATGTCACGATTTTCTCTTTATATGTGTTGTATTCTAATTGAGATATACACAGTTTATCATCTTCAAGGATTCCCCTACAATTATTTTATACACATATTGTGCGCTATCAAGTTGGAGAGAAAATAAAGACGTTAGCTGACAAAAGTTAGATGTGAGCTTGAGGAATAGGTCATCTTCATCATCAGACGATTTATATTCTAATTAACTGTTTACTTAGTCCCTTATATTTTCCATGAGTAATAGAACTTTATTACGTAAATTACTGCTATTAACGTCACCGTTAAAAACTTTAGTAGTTAATTTGAAAATATCCGTTTCTTCTTATTAAAGCTAATTCAAAAATAATAATTATTTTTTTTATTATTATTACTATTAGTATTATTATTGTTATTATTACTATTGCTACACTGTAAAAACAAGTGTCTCAATGTAAGACGTTTTGTCCCCACTTTTGAAACATTTGAGGTGTTTTACCTCAAAATTATTGAGGTAAAACACCTCAAATGTTTCAAAAGTGGGGACAAAAACGTCTTACATTGAGACACTGTTTTTACAGTGCATTATTATAATTATAATAATTATTGTTATTATTATTACTATTCTCATATACATCTTGTTTGAAATTTTCGAACATAATTACCCAATGAAAATATGATGATTGTCTGCATACTATGTATAGAATAAATTTTTAAAAATTGAACATTAGCGAAAGAAATTACATATTTAAAAAATAATTATGTATAGTAGCAGTAGATTGTGTGTTGAAGTTCATATGATTACAACCAACGAAATTATAGGTTTCGAAATTTTTTTTTGTCACACTTCTAAACAAGATATATGAATATATATTGTATATGAAGAAATGAGCGATTTCTTATTGGCATGAAATTTTTAATATCGAACACTCTAATGAGAAATTCTGTTGAAATTATATTTTTTATTGCTATCCATGAATTCATTAGCTGTACATTTTTCAAGTAAATCAGATCTTTTATGTAGCTAAAATTATCAACGTTTATAAATGTCGACGCAAAAAGAGAAACGAATTTTTTTCTATGACCAAGAAGTAAATAAATTTTGATAAAGAGAGTTTGATTAATTAGCTTCATTAATTTCTTGAAAGCTTTTAAATCCAATCAAGGCGGAAAAGATATAGAAGTTCGAGAATATCTCCTTTCATAAAGGAAAAAGACATAACTTACTTATTTATTTGTTTTTCATGTATTTTGCTTCCTCGTAGGAAGCTTTATAATGTCGATTTCCGATTTTCTTAAAATCAATTATTATATTAAAGGTATTAGGGGAGGGTGGTCCCATACCGACCCCCTAAAGTGCAAAGGCTAAAAATGTGCCAAAAATGTGTTTCTTTGTCTTCGTCAAAATTTTTTTGAGTAAAGGAACTATTTTTCAATGTTTCCTGACGGTTCCCGAGGTTTCTGATTGTCATTAATAAAAGATCTAAAGAAAAAGCGAAAATTTACGTTTTTAAATTTTTTCAAAATGGGTGGTCCGAAACCGACCCCCCTATGGTCTGAAATCGACCCCCCATTTGTTTGGGGGAAATCTCAAGAATAATCAAGATATCAAATTCTGATAGTAATTAAAATAAAATTCAACAGTCTGTAATGAACTGTTAAATTATTTTGACTTTATTTAAATACATTTTTGGACCTTTTTCTGAACAAAAAGGTAAATAAATGAATCATTAGTAACTTTACTCTGAGATTATTTATGTCTTTAAGTTATGTTGACATAGTTAAACTTGAATTAATATGATTACTTTATTTAAATAAATTTTAAGGCCTTTTTTAAAATAATAATCAATATAAATTGTTAAACAGTGTCTAAATTTCCAATATAATAGCAGCAATGGTTTTGCCTGTTTTAATTTTCGCCCTATTTCTAGTAAAATATATACGAATTTTGTTATTAATTCTTTTTCGTTTTCGTACTTAACTGCTTTCAAAGATGTCGAAAAGTACACCTTTTCTTAATTCATATCGCCTTGTCAAGAACATTTTACAACTGACAATGAATAAAATAATTGTAATTGTAAATAAAACGGCTTTTTTGGTCGAACTAATTTATTTTATTTTGCCAACGTTTCGAACTGGTACCAGTTCATCTTCAGGGCTAAAAAACGTTAGAACACATTTAATATTTGTTTAAAATTTACAAAAATCAACTAATTAAACAACCTACCATTAACAAATTCAATAACAATTCATTAACAAATAAAAAAAAAAAAAAAAAAAATTATATTATATTATTTTTATTTTATTATTTTTTTTTATATTTGGTATTCTTGTAAAAATTCAATCAACGTAAACGTCGTAAACTATTACAACCCCTGTAGTCTGGCAATCCGATATACGTCTCGATTATGCTTAATTTAACACATCAGTCAGTCCGTCGGAACTATGTAGACACACAAGTATTGTACTTTCTTTTTTGTTTTTGTGTTTTTATGTTTTAGAAGAATTTGTTAATGGTAGGTTGTTTAATTAGTTGATTTTTGTAAATTTTAAACAAATATTAAATGTGTTCTAACGTTTTTTAGCCCTGAAGATGAACTGGTACCAGTTCGAAACGTTGGCAAAATAAAATAAATTAGTTCGACCAAAAAAGCCGTTTTATTTACAATTATTATGAATATCTGGTCGTTGTTGCTATAATAATTAATGAATAAAATATTTAACCAAAAGAGAATAAAAGTTAAGTAATAGGTAAGTGCTGTGATTGCTAGTAAAATATTTTATAAATTCCTAAAAAATAAAAGTAATAATATGCAAAACCTATCCTCACTTCATTTGAACAAGAAGGAAGAAGAGAATAAACAATTACATTGTAAAAATATGGGGGTCGAGTTGGGACCACCCCTTGAGGGTCGGTTTCGGACCACCCCCACTATTTTCACAAAATGTTTTGCCAATCACTTATATCAATGGAATCAATTTAATTTGAATGTTGTGCGTTGAAGTTAAGGTCATACACAATCAAAATTAATTTCGTAAAAATATTCCTGTATTCAAAAAACACTGTTAGCTCGAATTCCGTATAGGTCAAAAATTAATTTAAACAATGCTAAAATCTAATATTGCTTGAATCTTCAGAATGAAATCAAACGCATTGATAAAACCTGTGGCCCAGTTGTTGGTGTTGTGAAAGTGTTCGACTGATGGTACTGGCGAATTTTTTAGTGGTACCATCTTCAAGAAACATAAGGGGGTCGGTATGGGACCACCCTCCCCTACGGATAATTCTTCTAATGATAAAAGTAGTAATAATAAACAATAATAATAATAATAATAATAATAATAATAATAATAATAATAATAATAATAATAATAATGATAATGATAATGATAATGATAATGATAATGATAATGATAATGATAATGATAATGATAATGATAATGATAATGATAATGATAATGATAATGATAATGATAATGATAATGATAATGATAATGATAATGATAATGATAATGATAATGATAATGATAATGATAATAAACATAATAACAATAATAATAATTAGAATATAGAAATTTATCAATCACTCCGATTGAAATAATAAAACACTGTTTACTTAACATTACGGTATCTATATTGTCCACGTCAGAAACTAAAAATATTTTTTAATTGTTAATAAAACGTAAAATTACAAACATCACCTCAAAAAACAATTTACAAAAGTGTTGAAGTTATAATGAAATTAGAATTTTGTTAAGCATTGATGCGGAATAATACGAAGTGACTAACTAACAGGCAAAAATAAATGTTATAAACGTCGGTTTAATTGTCATGAAAATGTAGACAATGGTGATTTATGAATAAAGACAGAACATTGATATCGTATCTAGTATTTCTATTAGAATATTTAACAATATTACTTTAGCTTGAAAAACTAAATAAAATTCCTTTTTAAGTAAAGTAATTTAAAAAAGAGTATATTTTGTTTTTCTAAGAATTATTTTTGATATCTGTTAAGAATTGTGAGTAAAGATTGCTAAGATTTATTATATCCTCCTTTCGATTAATTCGGTTTTTTGTAATTTAATTTAATATTTTTATTTGGTAGGTAGTTCTTTTCCTTAATCTTGTAAATTTGTTTATTATATGTTTATTATATGAATTAAAATTTTATAATCTACCGCAGAAAAAGTAGGTTTGTGAATTGTGATACCAATCATTTACAATTTTTGCTATTGTCTTTAATTAATTTTAATTCCAAAATGTAGAAGAAGGATACATAGAAGTATCCAATCAAGTTTTATAAGTGAACTAAAGATATCATGGTAATTATTAAAAATATTAATAGTTTCATTTTTTTTCTTGGAGATGCA